AATAAAAAAGAAAATTACACAGGATTCAAAAAGAATAGTTGAATCCACACTTTTCAAAATTCATGTCCCTTGGTCGCCATCTTTTGGGGAAAACCCATAGAATCCTCACAATAGCCTTTCTAGTTTTCTGGTCTGTAACTTTGTCATTTGATTGGGAAAAAATCGTTGAATCTTGTATATTGATTGCCCCGAGATGGGGCTACCCACACATTGAAAGAAAAAAAATAAACACAGTGGATTTATCGGAGCTCGCCCAAATGTTTGGTAGCACAAGGAGGAGAAATTTCGTTTTTTTTCCCTTTTGACCTTTTGGTTGACCCTGCAAAGGGATGCAACTTTTGCAAAGTGTGGATTGGACTTCAAGAGTGGTAGGATCGCTTGGGTGGTGGTGAGTCTTCAAAATAGGCATACTGTGCTTAAACCGTGGTCATGCAGCGTGTGGGTATTAAAATACACTGACATGACTGGCAAATATTGAATACATCAGCCAAGGAGTGGATCCAAGAATTTACAAAATAAAGAAATAATGCTGAAAACATTTAAATGTTCATAAAATGCATAGATACAACTGATTAAAATTAGCGACAAAAATTTTACTTTTATATATGCACTCTAGATCTTGTCATTTGATAACTTACTGCCTTTTGTAATATTAAGGACCCTCTATACACTGATTAAAAATGTTTTTTAGACTTTGAGAAAATTATATGGCGTAAAGTAGGATATTTTGAAATTAACTAATTCATTTTTAAGATAGGGAGCGTGGCTTTTTTATCCAGGAAAAATCTTCAAAGACAATGAAGTAATAATAAAGAAAAATCGCTTTTACTCACTCAAATGGAGAAATTGCATGCAAATAAAGTTTTCAACCATTCTATCTTGGTCTAATATAATGTTTAGAATGCTTGAATTTATTTTAAATTATGTCATACAGTACAGATTACAATTTATTCTACTTTATGTCAAATGGTAGGTCAGTCTAGCTACACAAAAGTACCCTGAAACTAGGGTGCAGTGTAGAGAGGGTCCTTTAACAGTATATTCCGCAAGAGTATTTCGATGAAAAAAAAATTAAAATTAAAAGCTCAATTTAAGTAACTGCGGGCATTGGAATAAAGATCATTAAGAATCATTGTGGGTATTTCAAGGATGTCTGCACTATTAATTTTTTCATAGCCCTCAAATAAAAGTTTTAGGGAAAAGATTGTATTTTCCCCTGCCTCAGATTTTACGGATTACCGGTAATACATGTAACTGAAGCACCTTCTATCATTTTCTCTAAGCAAATTTCACGGATGTGTGCACTATAAGCTTTTTCATAACCCTCGAATAAAAGTTTTACGGAAAAGATCTGTATTTTCCCCTGCCTCAGATTTTAAGGATTAACGGTAATAACTGAAGCACCTTCTATCATTTTCTCTAAGCAAGTTTTAATTTCATTGTTGGTTAATGGAAGAAAGGTCATGAATTCACTCCTCCTATTCTCGAAATAAAGCCAAAATTATTATAAATGTTTGTTTTCTGGAACAGATTAAAGATTAAGAGTCGGTAGTTTAGATAATTCGTAAAAACTTAATTTTATTTAACAACATTTAAATTTTATTAGTTACCTCTTTATTAAAACGCATATATTTACATTTGCAAATGTTTTTCCTTATGTAACACTATCTAAGCAAGGCGTATTTATTTCTGTGTAAAAACAGATTCGTCACGTGTCCTTTAATTCATTGTTCATTCATAAACGATTGACGTAATCTCACAGTGACGTCATAAGTGGTAGACAAGTTCAATTTATACCGGTAAGGTTTGGAAAAAAATAAATCATTTTATGGGTTTAAAACTTAAGTACATCATGTGCGTTGTGAATCAGTCTCAAATGTAAATATAAGTAATAAGGTATCATTTTAAAACTTTTATCGGGATGTAAATACGGGTTGGCATGTGATCAAATCTACCATAAAGCCCTTCGGGCTTTATATGATTTGATCACATGACCAACCCATATTTACATCCCGATAAAAGTTTAAAAATGATACCTAATTTCTTAAGTAAGAATTATTTCACTTTAATCACTGTTTTTCACTCTTTTAAATGGAAGGGAGGAAAATTATTTGGATACAAAGTTACATGATGTTTAAAAGTATGCTATGTATAATGCAAGAACATTAAATTTGGTGGGTTTTTTTCAGTTTTCTGTCCAACTTTTGTTTTCTAAGGGCAGAAGAAAACTCGTTTCGCAGTTTTGAACATTTCTTCAAATTTGATTTTATTTATTACAGTATAACACGCTTATAGCGAACAGGCTTATAATGAACTGACGCTAGCGCTTATAGCGAAGTGATTTTCATTCCCCGTGACTTTAAAATATATTGTAAACTTAATGGATATAACGAATTACGCTTATAACGAAGCAAAATCGTCCGTCCCTGGCACTTTGTTATAAGCGTGTTTTACTGTACTTTGTGTTTTTATTATTATTATTTTTTTTTTAAATTTATTTATTCATATTTATTTTTGAGCTCACATGATATAGAATCCCCGCCCCAACCAACCAGAAAAGGTGAAAAGGCGTCTATTTTTTCTATGAACTCTTTGTTTCCGTGTTTTATTTTAACACTGTACATCAGGATCCATATGCATACCTCAAAGCTACTGCGCACACCTTTTAGCGGAATATCAGTCATTAGTTCTAATTACGCTTTTATTGAATTAACCCTAAAGTTAGACTGAAAGAAAATGCGTTACATTTCTTGGCATGAATTTTTCAGTGGTTACATCTTTCTATACTCCTTTTTTCTACAGACACCCTTATTTAAAATGAAAAAAAGTAAAATTTCTCACAAGTTAAATAACAGCTGAGGAAGACAAATTACATTCCACGTTTTATTCTGCGACATTAATGAAACCAAAGTGATGAAATTTCAGGCTTTCTGGAAAGCCAAACTTTTAATATTTTCTTTAGTTAATAGTATACTTACGTACGATCATATGACGATATGAAAGTGAAGGTAGAAACCTTGGATACAACAGTGGAAGTAAAACATATTACAACATGTTTATTCATTTGATTCTTTCATCAACATTAATGAAAAATGTTTTTTATTATCAGTTCAGCTTCAAAGCAGCGTTCTGATCGAAAGTCCTGGCAGAATGAAACAGGGCTGATAAGATGACGATTGAACGTAAAGCTGATAAGACTGACATTTACACTGTATAGTTTGCAATGGTGATCAAAATACAGGTAAAATAAATATATAGAATAATCACAATATTCAGGTAATGACCCCTAATGAAAGTTACAACCTCCTGCATGACGAAAAATTTCCTTGAGAAATTTTTTTTGTTTCTAAACATTGTTTGGCGTTATCAAAAATTAGGCTCTTTTCTTTTTTAACAGAAAAATACATCACACACTTAAACTGGATAGAACATACTGGCCTTTAAACTATACAATATCTTCTGGGGTTTTATATGACTTTCAGTCTAATCAGGCATTCAAGGTAATGGTGTATTTAAAGTGTATCAGATAATCTATTAATTATTTATATTAACTGACATTAATTTTATTGAATTCTTTTTCAAGACTAGAGAACTTAGGGACTTGTACTCACTCTCTTTTGAAGTTTAACGTTTCAAGTGGATTAGATTTGCCTAGAAAATATTTACTGTATGATTTTTTTTAATAACAATTTTTTTATAGGTTCAATATACATCTCTTTGGCATAATTAAAATGGAAGAACAAACACCATGAGCCTAGGCTTGCTTCAAAGTAGGTACTGTAAGTACACCCTGTATTACAAACACTTCCTAACAAAGTTCTGGGTCGGGATCGATAATACTGGAATCACAATGTCTGTTTCTTTGGCTGTCTGCTTGTCTGTAGTTTTTTTTTCAAAGATTACATTATTGTATATGTAAAATTATTTAATTTTGATATTTTATAATCTGAAATAATAATATTATTTGAACATTTGAAATTGATTTGTCAAAACAAATATTGTTTTTTGTGATTTTATTATTAATCAAAACTTCTTGAAATTGTTTTGGACATAACCTTTAAAGTAGAACACAACACATGTTTATGAAATGAGTATCAACTTGTATCACAATTGTTTAGGAGAATGGATATGTATTTGTCTTTGATTATGACAAAACTTTACATTGTATTAACTTTAATTACATGTAGAGTTTAATTGGCATTTCAGTGAACCTATATTTATCAGCAAAAGCTGAACATTACAGACTTCAGCAGAGTGCCACCCAATGCCCTATCATGGGATGCTTTATTGTTTGAGGGGGCTGAAAAATGGAATAACATGAAGAACAAACCAAGAGAAGAAGCAGATTCTTAAGCGTTCAAGGTGATTACCTTTTGTGCTTACTATCATATATATTGATTTACTAAAATTGATATGAAATTTGACTTCTTATATTAATTTTTATTTATTTTTTCTTCATTATTTTAGAAGTAACTCAGTGAAATGATGCCAGAAATATGTAAAAATTTGAAAAATAAAAACAGGATTAATAGCTTAAAAATTTGTTCTTCTATTTCTTATTATTTAAGGAATAAATTTAATAGCTACCCAAGTTATACTGTATAACCTGGGTTGGGGCAGTTTACGCTTTATAAACCGCAAAGCGGTATATATATACATAAAAAAAAAAACAAAAAAAAAAAAACGTAAACTGTTCCAACCCAGGTTATACCAGTATAACTTGGGTAGCTATTAACTTCATTCCTTTTAATTTAATTTTCTGTCATTAATTGTAGAAAATAAGACAATTTCTCCTTCAAAAATGCCTTCAAATTGTGCATATTTTAATTTATGTGTGGATTATTTCTCCTACTATTTTGGTCTCCTGGAAAAGACTGGTGAAGAACCAGAGGATCTCGTTAGAAATAAATCCCACTTTATCCCAAAACGAGGTAGAAACCGAACTCTAGATGCGGTATGTGATACTCTAGATAATATAAAGCTACCCAATGTTACTAAGTATGTTAAATCTAACCTCACCAAAGAGGAGGGAAAAGCTATATAAGGACGAAAGCATAGTTATCAAAGAGGCCGACAAAGGAGGCGGGGTAGTCATCATGAATAAAGTATTTTATGAACGTAAAATTTTGAATATGCTGCAGGATCCCGTCTACTATAGAACTATTAATGCAAATCAGGAGAAAAAAACGTTAGCAAAGATAAAACAACTTGTCAGTGGGCCATCTTCCGGGAATATGACTGCTAAGGAGAAAGACTATCTAACAAACTTCGATACCAGTGAGAGTCAATTTTATGGATTACCAAAAGTACATAAATCATCGGAAATCAAAAACGCAATACATGCTCAAAAAGGAGAATACATTTGCTGTCCTAATCCAGAAGATCTCTCTTTTCGACCCATCGTAGGGGGACCTAATTGTTCAACACAAAGACTTAGTCACATGTTAGATATTTTATAAAAACCTTATTATGAAAAAGTTCCCAGCTTTATTAGAGATGATTTAGATTTTATTAATCACCTACCAGACCATATTCAAAGTAACACGAAGCTGGTGTCATTCGACGTCGTTAGTTTATACACAAATATACCAGTGGATTTGGGTATAAAAGCTATTAAATATTGGATTGACAGATATCCAGATTTACTACAAGATCGTTTTGAGAAAGAATTTATATTGGAAGGATTAAGAATAATACTTCTAAACAATACCTTCGCCTTTGGAAAAGATCATTTTATACAAACAAAAGGAACAGCGATGGGGACAAAAGTGGCTCCCACATATGGCACTTTAACCTTAGGATATCTCGAACAGAAACTACATCACCAACTAGCCACTCTATGGGGAGAGGAAGATGCTGAATCTATAATATCAAAATGGAAAAGATTTCTGGATGATTGTTTTATTCTATGGAATGACAATGTTGACAGATTATCCGTTTTCCAGCAGTTGTTAAACGGCTTGGGTTCTAATATCAGATTTACAATGGAAAGCAGTGATACTAAATTACCTTTTCTTGACGTCCTAGTCATCAAAGAAGATACAAAACTTTCTACGGATATCTATTACAAATCAACTGACACCCACCATTACCTACATTTTGCTTCCTGTCACCCTCACCATACAAAAACAGCAATCCCTTACAATCTTGCTAGACGTTTATGTGCTATCGTTAGCGATGATAACACTAGAGATATCCGACTGAAAGAGCTCAAGTCGTACCTTATAAAACAGGAATATCCTGAAACCCTCATAGATAACGGTATATTGAAAGCCAAAGGATATACACGATCTGAATTACTGTCTACAAAGAGCCAGGAAAATAAAACGGAAATTATTCCATTTGTGCAAACTCACAACCCACGGAATTATAACTTGACCTCTATATTTCACCAACTGAACAACATTCTTAAAGATGACATATCAACAAAACGAATATATAAAGATGTAAAATTTATCAACAGCAGACGACAACCTAGGAATCTTAGAAGAATCCTGTGTTTTTCCCATTTTAAAAATACCTGCGCAGTCGCCAAGTGTGAGGACGCACGTTGCGGGACATGCCAACATATCATAGAAGGATCAACTTATAACTTTAACGGAAGACAATTTACAGTCAACGCAAATATGTCTTGTGACACTAAAAATGTAATATATGTAATTACATGTCCTGGATGCCACCAGTATTACATCGGGAAAACAAGCAACCCGCTTCGCGCCCGTGTGCGGGTCCACAGACAACATATTAACTCACCGGAATATCGACAAATCCCTCTAAGTGAGCATTTGGATCGCTGTGGAAATAAACAGTTTACTATATTTCCTTTTTACAAACTTTCAAATGAAAGTGACATCCAGAGACGCGAAAAAGAAAAACATTTTATACATGTTTTCAAACCTAAACTTAACAATTTATCGTAATCGTAATCACAATTGTACATATTGTTTTCATTCTACAAATTTCCCGCATTGTTTATATATATATATATATATATATATATATATATATATATATATATATATATATATATATATATATATATATATATATATATAAAATATATATATATATATATATATATATATATATATATATATATAAGGACAACATTAACATTTGGTTCACATTGCAATCCAAAGAAATCACGAAATAATTAAAAAACAATTTGCTGTCCTTCAAAAAAGAACTGCAATACGTGGACCATATGCATGTGTTTCGAAACGAAATTCAAAGAAAATTTCTAGATTTAGTGACTTTACAAAGGTGTAATTAAATTTAATTTTTTTACATGAATCTTGTCATTTTCATCGTTATTTAAGTCTGCTTAATTAGGCTGTAATGATAAAAAAAAATCATGACCTTGAAATGATATGAATATGAAATGTTGATCTAGGTATCTAGATCATAATTGTAATGTAAAATTAACAACAGAATTAAAAGAGGCTTAAGCGTGCAGCTATCGTAATGGTTGAATTTTAACTCCATTGGCGGATCCAGGGGAGGGGGGGGGGGTAGGATGTTGGAACCCCCTTTATTTTTCCAGAAAGAGGAAAAGAGAGAGAATGTTTTTTTTTCTGAAATATATATATAGATATTTTTACGTTTAGTATTTTCAAGATTCCGGCGAACGTACGGCTATGCCATTTTTGGACCATCTTCTAAAGTAACTAATTTTAATAAGTATGCATAAAAAGTCATGAAAGGGAGTATCCATAGGAGAATATTTATCTACATATATTATGGGGATATTTTAATCAATGAAAAGAAAAGTTCAAAATGTCCCCGTAGTTTGTAGAGGAAGGGGGCTCACTTTTTCCTAAAAAAAATTTATTTTTTTGTTATAATTTGAATATATAAGTTTTGATTTGTATTGGAAGCTCCCCCGCACTTTTGTTGCGGGGAGGTTTAAAATACGGAAAATCAAACATTTAAAAAATTCAAAATATACCGAAAAGTTAGACGAAGACCCCCCCCCCCCCCCCAAAATAGGATTTCACAGTGTGGTGCACAGGTTGTTATTTTAATTAATTTATTTATTTTTGGTTGTCAACTCTTTTTGAAGGTTGCCTCTTCGAAAACCGTTACTACGGGCTTGAATGAAAGTGCCTGCGGTGTGACCTAGACCCCCTTTTCAAAAACTGCTGGATCCGACCATGTACTGGAACACTAGAGGGGTTATCTAAAACGATGCTAGGTTATCGATTAACTCGATCAATTTGAAAACACAAAAAAAATTAATTTTGTGAGTGTGTTTTCTCTGTCTCTTTTTAAATAACGGAATGACTAATATACAACACATGCAATCGTAACTTCTTGGCAAAACAACGTGTTTTTCTGAGCTCGCCACTGAGAAGATGCGATTGACAATCTCATCGTACATAGACCAAGGCTATTTGGTCTTTCAAGCACAGGTGTATGCACTGTTTGCTTGTGACGCTTAGACTGGTGACGGTATTTGTTTCGGACATGAAGAACTATACACCAGTTTCATAACATGTGCAGTTTTTCTTTTTGGTGAAAATTGGAGTAAATTAAAAGTCGAATATCTTGGATATGGGGTAACCCATATCTATTCTTGTTACAACGACCGTCAATGCATCCATGGACGAGTTCATTGGTTACTTTGAAAGGTAGCACAGGTTAACCTTTCTTTAACATTTTCTACAATGATCTACTTACTTCGATTGATTGTACTTTCATAGCAAAATTGTTAAATTTTATTCCCGATTGGCCTATAGTTTTGTCATTAAAAAAAAAAAATCGGGCTATTTCGATACATGAAATCATTAACGGCTGGGACTTGACATCTGTACTAGATTTATACGGAAGATATCCTATCATTGGGAAGATAGATGGTACACGTGTAGCACTGATCTGTAGTACGCAGAATTTTTTTTATGTTTCTCCCTCTCCTCTCATGGAAAAACGTTGCTACAGGCCTTTATCCAGTTATAATTATTTTGCTAACCTTGATGCACAAAGCTAATGCCGGTAAACTTGATAAAGATTATCTTTTAAAACCAAGTAGTTGAATTAAGTTTTTAATTCAACATGTTCTTGAAAGCTGTTAAGCTATCCATATAAGTTCTTCCTACTTATTTAAAATGCTTGTACCATAGAATTTTAGTTTGTATATAAGGATATATGTATTAAAGAGAAATTCAGATCTTGATTACGCCAAAGAATACATAAATACGATGTGCAGATTTTCGAGCGAGGTTTGCTAATAATTGGCATATTCTAATTCGAAAAGGGCGAATTGTTCTAAGAGCAAGTTGTCTTGGAGGCGAACTCTCTAGCATTCTTGCTCATGCCTGGTCTGATGTAAGCCCATGGCATCCGGTTTAACTCCGCTAATATATTTTCTGCGTGGACCTCAGGGTCCCCGCAATAAATATAAGTTAAAAAATAAAATAACTTTTGCTCAACATATGAAGAACATATGAAAATAAACATACATGTATGTTATTCATATGATCATACAAAACATGCAACCAACATATGTAAAACTAATGATTAATATATATTTGGAAACATTTGTGATCATATGGTGCTCTTTTTTTATGGCGAACATATTTTTTGGAACGTATGTTTAACGTATGTTCAACATATGTCGAACATATTTTGCAATTTTACCTGCGTATACTCTTAAAAATGAGAACTAGAATTGATATCAGTTTTAGTGTTGAACTGTTTTTAAACAGAAAAAAAATCGATAAAAGTAATCATCCTCTGCTAGGATAAGCAAGCTATCATGTCGTCAGTTCTTCGATGTAATTTAAGCAGTTCGAAGAGATTGTAGAGATGACTGTGTAACGTTCTATGTGGGTATCTTGTCCATAAAATTGTGACCAAGTTTTCATCAAAGACCCTTTATCTGAAAGTTCAAATACCTCGAAAATCTGAATTTCATTTTCGATTCTGGTGATTTTGAGAAAGGGTATGAACCACAACGTATATCCCTAGTCGAACTCTTTTCTCAAGATCACAACAAACCTGTCTTAATCCTAGTTTTACAAGGTATTTATTTGATTAGATTCATATCTTGTGTATTTTTATGGTTGAAGTAATTACATTTACTGTCGAACAATACAGGAAGGGTTATAATAAGGTTCGTGGACTTATGCGATAAAATCAATTTATAAGGAACACAAGTTTAAGGTGTTTTGAAAATTTTAGTTTGATACATTGATTAATTGTCAAATTATCCTAAATTAGGAAAGGGTTCCGATGTTGCATAATATTTGATGCACCTCGTTTTAAGGTCTGGGGTGACCAAATACGATAATAAATAGGGCCGGTCTATGTCTATTATAAAAATTCCGCTTTCAGTTTTATATACCAATTACATTTTAAAAACTTGGCTCTTCTGTATTGATTCATCTTTCAATTAAGATTCTAGAAATTAAATCGGGAATTTACATTTCTAATTCACTTCCTAGCAACATTGGAATATTTACAATTAACTTGCTGACATGCTGTGTTTTTGTGTACAGCTGTACACTTTCATCCTAAAATTTAGACTTAAAAAATTAGAATTTAGAATTTATGTCAAATTAGGCGTTGACGATTCTAAAGAAAAAAATATTATTCGATTAAAGTAATCGTCCCATGCTTGGATAAGCGAACGATACAGGGCGTCAAATTTCATTCAAGGACCAAATGAATGTCTTCCTCTTTTTTCGTTTGAATACCTTTAATAGACTATTTTGAATATTGTTAAGTACTTCAAAATGGTTTAAGCTATTCCGAGATACGTGGTTATAAGACTCTGAAAAACTTCTATGTGGGTATCTTGTTCATTAATTCATGGCCCATTTTCACCTACGACCCTTTATCTAAAAGTACAATACCTGGAAAACCTGATTTTTCATTTTTGATTCTAATGATTGAGTGAAGACTGTGAACCTTAGGGGAAATCCCTAGCTAAACCTTTTTCTCAAAATCACGAAAACAACAGTCTTACACCTTGTTTTTTTTCAGGTATTTTTTCCACTAGTTTCATGTCTTGTATACTTTTATGGTTGAAGTAATAACCAATGCCGTTAAACAAAATACATCTTAAAAGTTTTTGGTTTTGTTTTTTCTGAAAGACAGAGTTACGTGTGGTATTTGGTCAGAACAAGCTGAAATTGGGAATTTGCTTACTAACATCTACGTATTATCAAAAGTTTTACATCCTATTTAGGAGCAAGTTGCCATATGGCATTATTGTATATAATTTCATCTTTGAATTGAGACTTTAAAAATTAAATCGACAATTTATATATTTTATTCACTTCCTAGCAGCATTGCAGTATTTTTAATTAGCAAACTTGTTGCCATGTTTTATTTATATGTATGGCTTGGGATAAAATGATGAGAGTGGAATGGAGTGGAGTGGAGTTATGTGGGGTCATGGAGTGGAGTCTGTATCGAAACAGAAGATAAAGTTTAAAAACAGATT